CAGCTGGCAGGGAGATTCTTCCACCCATGCTGTTTAGCATGGATGAATGTATGTAGTATGTATCTCTTAGACCTATTAGAGAAATCTATATATGTATGGTTAGCCCCAGCACATAGGACTACAAAAGTTACAGCAAAAAGGTGTTTAAAATATATCTATAGGCAAAACTATTTTTTGTAGTTTTGGATGGGCTAGGAAAGGGTTAGAACCTATCAGTTTTTTTTATTGCAGTCTGTTGAGATTTACCTAGCCTGGTCAGGGTTGTCATCAGGACAGGTGATTCAAAATTCAAAATTTGTACGGCTGTAATGGTATCAAACTGCATCTGATGTGATTACACACAAGGACAGCTGAACTTTGATCCTCGATGGGTCCCTATGATCTTATCAGTAGTAGGGATTAGGGAATATATTTGGTTTCATGAACAGTTTCATGCTTGAAGATGACAAATCCTATTGAAGTCTATGGGGAATTAATTTTGGTATTCAATCTTGTTGGGGTAATAGGAAAGCTATTGTCAAACAAATGGCATGGGAAGCTGGGCACTGCCATGGGGGACATGTTTAGAAAAAAAAAAAAAAAAAAAAAAAAAAAAACACATTATCTCTCTACACAGAATTATTAGCTCACCCTAAAGTGGTTGTAAACCTCAGACATAAAATATGAACAAAGCATATCTCTCTAGTGTGTACTTGTATAAATCCAGAGTACTAAGTGTCGTTTCTGTCTGCTGCCTCCTTCCTCTGCTGGCTGCATGAGTCACTGCTGATAAGTTTTTCTGACACCAAGAGAAAAAAGGGTGACAGAAGGAGCTCCAGCACACAGCCTGTGTTTGACAGCCTCAGTTCTGTTCCTGTGTGCTCTGTTAGGAAGCGTGTGTCCCTTCTCTCCAATCAGCTCTCATTGCTCTTCTTCTAACTCAGATCTGTAGTGTTTAATTTCAGCTCCCCGCCCTGATTTCTGAAATCTCAGGCAAGCTTGATTTGCTTAGAGAAGAGAAGACTGCAGATAAACAGGTACAACTTATGTAGGAGGATTTGTTTCATCTCCTTGTATTACTGGAGGATAGTCATGTCACTGGGTATATGTAAGGGTTTACAACCACTTAAACATCTCCAACCCACACTGACAATATGGCTGCTGTGAGTCCACCCTTTTATATAAATGTTAAGTTATTCATACCTATAAAGCTAATCTCTGGGGAGAACAATGCAGGGGCTGCCCCCACACTGCCCAGTTTAAATGCTCATTTAGGTCTAGAAAGCCACAAAAAGCAGTTTTACTTGCCCGATCCCTAGCTCTCCCATCAAATGGTGCTCTCCTCTAATCCCCTATGCTCTGGCAGTGGACTCTCCCTTGGTGCACTCATATCCAATGTAGGGCTATGGGCTCTGCATTGGCCTTTATGACATCAGAGGACCTGCAACCACCAGAGCTTAGTGGAGAAGATGCAGCGGATTGGTCTTAAACCCTGGAGGGAAGTAAAATTGCTATTTCCCGTTCCCTAGACCTAAATGAGCATTTAACCATTGCCATTTGGAATGGCCCCATTCTTGAAGTTCAGCTTTAAAATACTGGCTCATGTGACTCAGCTAACGAAGGCATACGAACTTTCATACTGATTGTTTTTTTATCAATTTTTTCAAAAAAAAAAAAAAAACACACACACACACAAAAAAAAAACAAAAAAAACAGAAGACAATTGCATCCCTGCATCCAATGGAACTTTCCACACTGTTCAGCTATGTTTTTAAACAGCTCATCCACTCCCTCATCATATCACAACTCGACTACTGCAACTCCCTCCTCACTGGCCTGCCTCGCCGCTGGCTATCCCCGCTTCAGTCGATCCTGAATACGGCTGCCAGACTCATTCACCTTTCCAACCGCTCCATTTCCGCCACCCCCCTCTGCCAATCCCTCCACTGGCTTCCGATTGCGCAACGGGTCAAATTTAAAATCCTAACACTGACGTACAAAGCTGTCCACCATACTGCCCCGATCTACATCACTGACCTAATATCCAAGTACCGCCCGGGCACGCACACTCCGCTCCTCACAAGACCTCCTTCTCTCTAGTTCCCTGGTCTCCTCCTCCCATGCCCGCCTCCAGGACTTCTCCAGGGTGTCACCCATCCTCTGGAACTCCCTTCCCCAACCCATCAGATTATCACCTACTCTCCTCTCCTTTAGGCGCACCCTGAAAACCCATCTCTTCAGGGAAGCCTACCTCACCCCCTGCTAACTCGCTGACCTCCTCCGCTCTTCCTACCACTCCATCCCCCACAGCTATCTCCTCCTGTGCCACCATCCCTCCCTCCTAGATTGTAAGCTTGAAAGGGCAGGGCCCTCGATCCCCTCATGTTTTGCATTGTATTGGTATTGTTCTGTCACATGTTCGGTCCCCCTTTGTAATGTACAGCGCTGAGTGAACTATTGGCGCTTTATAAATACTGTATAATAATAATAATAATGTTTTTAAAAGTCCTGCTTGCTGCATTTCTTTATGCATGTAAAAAAAAATTGCACCCCATTGAAGTGAATGGAAAACACATCAATAATGCACCTGCAGTTGCGTTTTTATTAGTCATGTGTCCACATTTCACGGGTGCATGCCGGGTAATAGGCACCCAGAAAACACACCAAAAATGCACCAAAATCATATATGCATTTTTATTGTGTTTTTGCAATAGAGCAGTGTGAAGCCTTGGGGACTCTGCACTGCATAATGGGTTGTTCTGAATTTACAGCAATCAACCTGCAAAGCTTTCAGCCAAAAAATGTGCAAACTATGGACTTAAAGGAGGTTTATAAACCAGACCCACAATAAATCGTCTGCCACATAATTTTATTTAATCTTTATACACATGGAACATCCCTCTGTATATACACATCAGCTTTTATACACATATATAATTTTTTTATACATTTTTTCAGATTTTGAGAGGGGTGTCTGGTTATAGATACACGTAGTAAATTTTAGTAAATGTAAAATAACCTGTAAGAATTGTCAAAAAAAGAAAAAAAAAAAAAAAAGTTAAAAACACTACATAAAATCCATACATTTCAACAGAACAAGCAAAAAGGTTGGGGGTTCCGAACCTGTACAAAACCATTAAAATTTGCCCCTTAAAAAGGTTTGTCTTCAACTTTTACCACGCAAACTGAAAACAATGAGGCCAGCTAGTGGCCACTAAAAAAAAAAAAAATATATATATATATATATATATAATAATAAACGACATGCAAAAAGATGTGTAAACCTGAATGAGTTCCTAATCGAACGTATTGCTGGAAAATGATCTCTCAGCGTCTTTTGTAAAACATCAAGGCCTCCTGGCAGTAGAGCGCTCATATTGAATAAACATGAAATGGATCTACAACATCTTTCAAATATTTCAGAACCTATGTCGAGTTCCAGTTTAAAATACACCATCATCAACGGTGGCTTCTAGAATTCGGATATGTCAGAAATGGTGGAAAACAGGAAGTGATCGTGTGTAAGGCCCTTGAGGAACGTCACAAGACGGTGGGTGTGGGTACAAATACACAAGCTGAAATTATTATGATCCAAAAAAGGCTGAGAATACAAGTATGGCGTTAGTTAAAAACAATAGCCGGCTTATATATATATATATATATATATATATATATATATATATATATATAAAAAAGAAACCAAAACAAAACATTGTGGGGTGCTAAATGCAAAGGACAACTGGCAGTTGACATAGCGACAACTGCCATTATTTTGTATTTGAGTAAGTTGAATTTTGGTAGGTTGTTGTGGGTGGCACTGCTTTAAGTGTGTGCCCAGCCAAAACCTTACATTTTCTAGGTAGACTGGTAAAGGACTAAAGCCCCTGCTATCCAGGGCTCAGTTACAGAGATTACACCTTACTTCCTGTTCTGGTGACAACTGTTTCTACAGAGCAAAAATGAGAGAAAATCTTCAAAAGCAACACAGACAAAAAAAGAAGCTTTTTCTTACCAAAATAGGGGAGGGATAGAACCCCTGTCAGTTTTTTATTGCCATCTGTGCCTCTATTGCAGATTTACCCTAACTTCCTGTCTGGTGAAATCGTCAAAGACGGTTAGAACTCTTTTACATGGGATTGTTTTGTCAGCAGCAGTTGACCCATGGTGACCCAAAATGGAGCTTGGAGTGTCGTTATAAGCACTCACTTGATGCAATCTATGTGCATGGGGAACACCTCACTCCCGACCCGGCCTCAGCAGGCTCTTCCCCACAGACCAAGCTTCCAACGTGTTTCGCCCTTCCCACTGGAGCTTAGTCATAGAAGAGTGGCTGACCCATGGTTAGCAGGCATTTAAGAGGCAATATGGCACCTCCAGCATGCACTGACTGCAAGGACATGCCACTGTGAAAGGGTCCTTAGTGGGAAGGAAATCCCTCTAACAGAGCCTCTGATCGCAGCAAAAATCTGCCAGGGGTTGTAAATCTCTCCCACTCCATCTTAAACTAACGGAAAAGGTTAAGGCTGGACATACACTTTATTAGATAAGCCGAAGGCTTCATTATGAAAGTCTATGAAAGGTGAATCATCTGTTTTACCCATAGCAACAGTATTCCTTCATTTAAGATGCTTAGAAAAAGAAAAAAAAAATCTGATTGGCTGTCCTGCATACCACACAGTCCTCGTTTCAGATGATTTTATACATACATGAGGCCTAACTTATTGTTCTGCAGCCTATATAATTATACTGTGACAGCATTACAATGACTGTGTACAGTGAGTGGTGTAGAAGATATGTGATATGTTATTGGAGGTGTACGTAGCGATGGATAATGATTCTGACACGCAGGTGTGCCAAGGCATGTGGAATGTCTGTGCACAGTATTGAAGTAAAGACGAGTGTTGGTTGGACTACAGAAGAAAACGTGTGCAAACATTAATGCCAGTGCGCACAGCTTCACATACATGCTCCTATCAGCACATGAGCGTAAATGTACACACTGAGCGATCAGCTGGCTGAAATTAGCCGAAGGTTTCCTGGGATGCATACACCATGTAGAGGAAGCCATCCTCATCCTTCTCCTGTTCATAGATGTCCAAGATGGCGGTGGAGACACTAACCATGCTCCTTTGGTTCACCAACAGGAAGAAAGCTTGGGTTGGGTTCAGCTGCAGTCGACGTCTAGATTAGGGAAAGATTAGACCAAATTAATTAAATACTTTTTTAACAAACTTACTTAAAGTGTTACTAAACCCATCACCCTGCATTCACTATAGCTGGTCTCCTATAGCAGTGGTCTACAGCAGTGGTCAACTACGGCCCTGGGGCCAGATGTGACCCTTTGCCTGCTTTTTATCTGGCCCTTGGGATCTTATTCCCCCCCACTGTCAGCAACAGTGGGGCATAGTTCCTGCCACTGACAACAGGGCCCTATTACTCCTACTGATACCAATGATAGGGTACTATTCCACCCACTGACACCAATGATGGGGCACTATTCCTCTCACTCACACCAATGATGGGGCACTATTCCTCCCACTCACACCAATGATGGGGCACTATTCCTCCCACTCACACCAATGATGGGGCACTATTCCTCCCACTCACACCAATGATGGGGCACTATTCCTCCCACTCACACCAATGATGGGGCACTATTCCTCCCACTGATACCAATGATGGGGCACTATTCCTCCCACTGATACCAATGATGGGGCACTATCCTCCTGATACCAATGATGGGGCACTATTCCACCCACTCACACCAATGATGGGGCACTATTATACCCACTGACACCAATGATGGGACACTATTCCTCCCACTGACACCAATGATGGGGCACTATTCCTCCCACTGATACCAATGATGGGGCACTATTCCTCCCACTCACACCAATGATGGGGCACTATTCCTCCCACTGATACCAATGATGGGGCACTATTCCTCCCACGGATACCAATGATGGGGCTCTATTCCTCCCACGGATACCAATAATGGGGCTCTATTCCACCCACTGACACCAATGATGGGGCACTATTCCTCCCACTCACACCAATGATGGGGCACTATTCCTCCCACTCACACCAATGATGGGATACTATTACACCCACTGACACCAATGATGGGATACTATTACACCCACTGACACCAATGATGGGGCACTATTCCTCCCACTCACACCAATGATGGAATACTATTACTCCTACTGGGGCACTATTCCTCCCACTGATACCAATGATGGGGCACTATTCCTCCCACTGATACCAATGATGGGGCACCATTCCTCCCACTGATACCAATGATGGGGCACCATTCCTCCCATTGATACCAATGATGGGAAACTATTCCCCCCTAATACCATGTTCTGCTCCTGATGGTCACAGTCCGGCCCTCCTAAAGTTTGAAGGACAGTGAGCTGGCCCTTTGTTTAGAAAGTTTGGATATCTCTGTCCTACAGTACACACAATATGGAAAGGCAATTATTTTACTAAATAGAAACTGCTAAATACCTTTTCTCATTGGCAGTATATAGCAGTCGTCTATCAATGTCCAGCAGAGCACTGGTAAAAGCTTGTAGGAGGAGTTTTCATTCTGCTCTGACTGTCCTATGAGGCTTCATAACCCCTGACCCTCTCTCTAGACTGTGCTGATTGGCCCTGTGCTGATCACATGCACCCTCCCAAAGACTAAAAAAAAAAAAACCCTCTAGCCATATACACTGAAATGTGCAGAGTGACTCCTAGAGCTCTGTTCACTCAGCAGATTGATTGGGGACAGTAGAAGTAGGAGAGGATCCGAGAAGACAAGATCAAACAGCCTTTTTAAACAATGTGGAGGATTAGCCCTTTGTTATACACAGCGAGTATAACAAGCATTCTTTACTGCATATACAGACTGATTTTACTGTTGTGGGTTTTGCAACTCCTAGCAAATGTTGTATGCACATTTTTTAAATACTTTTTCCTGTTTTATTAGTTATATTTATTTTTGGTTTTTACAGGACCTAGTTTTGCGGTTTCCTCTTCAATTTGGTTCCTGTTCGTGCACATATTGAACCCCCATGGGAGGATACTTATTTCGTAGTGTGTATAATCTGATCTCTCTTTCTCTTTAGACCTATTTCATATGACAGCTGTACATTAGTCTCTACACAGTCTTTTTGTCTGGAGCTTGCCACCAGCAAGTAGTAAAAATGTAATATTAATACGCAACATTTTACATTTATCTAACTGAAAATAAATATTTTTATTAATGAAATAAATACAACAACAGAACCCCTCAAAAAAACCCTAAACTCTTGCTAACTATTGAAAGACATAAGAAGTACATCCTAGAGTTCTTCCTGTTAGGTGAACACCCTTATCAATTTGAAAGCTGATCTATGTAGCAAGATCACGTCAGTATTATCAATGCTTGTTAAAATGTAAATGAAATACACTATACAAGATACACTGTAGCTACTGCTAATAACAATGGACTTTTATAAATAATAAAATTTAAGAACAGGAGCTAATATTTAAAAGCATCATTTATTTTCCATAAGTAAAAATTATTGCAGATTTAGTCCTGAAAATGGCATTGAAGCTCAACTGTTTTACAGATGTATGCATGTGATTTAATTAATAAAGACCACATTTTCTTGATCTTCCCGGGTGCCAACTTTTTTCTCCAGTGGATTTTGTCTTACAGAGGCATTGGACGCCTCATAGCCTGAGCACCAGGTTTGGACTGAGAAGGCGGTAGCTCTATTACACCTGTTTCCACTTTTTTCAAATGTGTTTAGGTGCGTGATGTGTAAATTTCATGTTTCCTTATTAAAATTGGCTCACAATATCCTGGTTACCTTAGCTGACTTCATACCAAAGGAATGTCATTACCAACTGGCCGAGGAGTCAATTCACTAAGAGATAAATACCGCAAGAATTCTGAGTTAAAATAATTAATGCGATATTTCAAAAGTAGTCATTTAATTAAAAAAAAAAAAAAAAAAAAAAGCGTTACTTATCGAATGCATTAAATATTTATGTTTTGCAATATTTAGCGCTTACATTTTGCGTTATTTTTGGTGTTTTTTCACTTTTTTTTTTTTTGGCAGGCTAAAAGTGCACCAAAAGGTACACAGCAATTATGTGAAACTATGAAAACATTGTAGTGTGCTTTCATTTACAAAATGATCTCCCTCTGATGAAATGTTACTATTTATTTTCATACCTGAGCTCAGAGGAGAACATTTTCACATTGATACATTGTATACTTTTCACTTTCTGGCCAGTGCAGAGTTCCTTTAATTGTTATTTTGTAAATTTCTAAAATACCGCCAGCAAGAACCTGGTGATAAATAACAAATGCGTGTTCTTTAAACTGCTTGCCCGCTGCTCTATAGTAGAAGAACTGCTACAGGGTGGCGGGGCTACGTAAAATCACGTGTATATATACACACCTGAGTTGCATTTCCGGACGGGGGTGCACGCCCTGCATAGCAGAGAAATACACCGCAGCATGTTTCCCTAGTAAGACCCACACAGCACATCATGTAAAACAGCACAGTTAACCTTTTGATTGCCCCAAATGTTAACCCCTTCCTGCCCAGTATTTTTAAACATATTCTTCAGATTTTTTTTAACATATAAAAAAGTAATTTTAACATATATTTGTAAATGCATTCCAAAAATATAGATTTGTATTTTTATAGACATACAGTATATTTGAAATGTATTTTTAAAAATATTTTTCATATATTTTGCAATAAAAAACGCATTTCAACATGCTGTATATATATATATATATATATATATATATATATATATATATATATATATATATATATAGAGTATATTAAATTTAAAATTGTAGTATTTTAAATATATGGCAATATATTTGGGAAGAATATTTTTAAAATATAGTTTTCTTCCATATGGGTATATTTTCTAATATTATTACATTTGTTATCTGTAGCTGTCATTATTTTATTAAATGTTATACCTACAAGTGATCTCTCTTTGCACATCTCGAATATAACCCCAAAAACATAAAACAATCACATAACAGTGTGATAAAACAGCGATAAAACAGCGCCACAAAGGTTTTGGTGTTCATTCAATTCATTGGCAAGAATATTAATTTATTCTGGCCATTGAAAATGAATGCTCAACTGCTAAACGTAAGCGTGTTTAGCGGCAAAACGCTCCTCTCCTGAATGGGCTCACCCTGGGTTTTTTCTCTTCCTCTAAACACCTATGTGTGCATGGTTACACATATCGAGTGGCGTTTATAGGAAGAAAAAAAACCATAAGTCAAACGCCCTTAAAAGTGGTGTTTTTGACTCCTAGCATGCTTGAGGTCTTAAGTGTTGCCCCCCTTAGGCAATTCCATATCCCATGGATAAGACAAACAAATGCTCCTCCATGCAGCTGTGGGGACATCTCCGCAGAAATTGCTGCCCCACACAATACCCCTTTGCTCTGCCGTTTGCAGGACGTTACAATTGTGCAACACCTAGCGTTTGATCCTAGACGTTCATACGGATTGCATACACATTGCGCTCTCTCTGTCTCTAGCTGCAGTGGCTAAACTCAGCTAGAGAGCACACATTGCGCATGCACACAGTTTGAATGGCCCGGAGTGGCCGACATGGAGCACAGAATTGTAGCACCCAGCCCCTCCTACAAAACGATAGGGCAGAGGAGGATGGAGGGCTCAGTGGTTTTTGGACACAGCCACCCACAGTTGCATGTGAGGCAGCACAGTGACTAAATGGTTAGCACTTCTGCCTGGCAGTAAGTACTAGGGTCGTTGGTTTTAATCCCAAGCACGGCACCACCTGCCTGGAGTTTGCATGTTCTCCCTGTGCCTGTGTGGGTTTCCTCCGGGTACTCCAGTTTCCTCCAACACTCCAAAGACATGCTGGTAGGTTAATTGGATCCTGTCTAAACTGGCCCTAATATTTGTATGTAAGTTCGGGACCTTAGATTGTACACCCCTTGAGGGTTAGGGACTGATGTGAATGTGCAATATATATGTAAAGTGCTGCATAAATTGACGGCACTATATAAGTACCTGAAATAAATTTTAAAAATGTGTAATGGGAGCAGGAACAGCATTTGAAAAAGAAATGCTGGTATGTTCTATTCAGGGGATATGGAATTCCATATGGGGCTTTTTGAAAAATGTTGCTGAAGGTGAACTTACACTTTAAGTGAGAAACATCTGTACTGAGTATAGTCACAATTATTTATATAGTGAGAAGTTCTGTGACAAACCCTGGATATAATACATCTCGGTGGTGACATTAGGCTGTGTTGTTATATAGAATATTTTTCGTGGTTACCTGATGATTTTCACCAGCTCGCTCATATTTACATGATCCGGGACCAAGAATTTGGTTTTGTCCAACACGGGAAGCTGTTTTTTTCTCCCTTATATCGCTCGATGATGACCTAGAACAGAGGAGAAGCTGTGTCACCGTATCAGTGGCTGGACGTGTTTTGGATGACATCATTCTGTTCGAACATTTCACGTACAGCTAGCAAACCATCTTTCCTGGAAGTGGCTACAAAAGTTTTATACTGTAAGCGGCAGACTGAGTGCTTTTGGTTTTGAAACCTCAGATCAGAACATTTGTGCCGATTGCCCTGCAATGTTATTGTAATGTGCATGTAAAGCAAAAAAAAATTTTTTTTGGTTATTGGGTTATTTTTTTTTTCTCTGGGTCCCGCTAGAGGGGGATTTTTTGCAGATTCAAATGACAAATCAAATTGTTTGTGGCAAGGTAAGGGTCCCCCTGTCTCAGCTGCCATTCTGTCAACTGTCTGGCCTCAAGCAGGTCACACATGCTGCCTTCCAGCAACTTAAGCAGCCCATGAATGATGCAATTTTCTTTCCACTTGTGGTGGAAAGACAAAAAAACAAAAAACAAAAACGCTCAATTTCCCCATTAACACAGTCAGTGTTGATGAGGGAATCCCTCCCACATTGCTATATATTTCTGCTGGTAAAAAACAATGATCACTGCCGGCAGGCTATAGCAATTGCATTTAAAAACCAGCACTGACATATAGGGGTTTATTTACTAAAGCTGGAGAGTGCAAAATCAGACTCACTTCTGCATAGAAACCAATCAGCTTCCAGGTTTCATTGCCAAAGCTTCACTGAACAAGCTGAAGTTAGAAGCTGATTGGTTTCTATGCAGAAGGGAGTCCGATTTTGGACTCTCCAGCTTTAGTAAATAAACCCCATAGTGACAGTTGGTATGGTGATAGTTGGTAAGCTAGATTGTAAGCTCGAAAGAGCAGGGCCCTCGATCCCCTCATGTTTTGCATTGTATTGGTATTGTTCTGTCACATGTTCTGTCCCCCTTTGTAATGTACAGCGCTGAGCGAACTATTGGCACTTTATAAATACTGTATAATAATAATAATAATTAGCTCCTGTCTAAATTGGCCCTAGTATGTGCATGTTTGAATGTGAGTTAGGGACCTTAGACTGTACACCCCTTGAGGGTTAGGGACTGATGTGAATGTACAATATATGTATGTAAAGTGCTGCGTAAATTGACGGCGCTATATAAGTACCTGAAATAAATAAATAAATGTCGAAGACTTTTCAGCCAGCCCAGGTCCTGCACTCAGCAGTCATTGGTAACATGGGTGGCAGGAGGGGTAGATATTAACCCTTTTCTTTGCAGGTTTGGTTTTGGGATTTACAAACAGTGACAGGGATTCTTTAACATATTTTGTTTACTTACAGGGATTTTATTGGGATGTTGCTCGCGGATCTGATGAACTTCTGCACATCTTTCAGCTAAAAGAAAAGAGACAAACATTGGCAAATGTACAAATAGTGGAGCAGAAAATACACACAATAGGAACAAAGGGAAATCCTAACTGGTAACTGGAACGCAGAAGTAGAGCAGCATTTTCACCATTAGAGGGCGATGTTGGAGACAGAGAAATGCCCCTCACTGAGCTGAATTAAGGACTCACCTTCCAGGATGGGGGGCAGTAGGATGTTCTCAAAGCCAGGAGGCTGCAGGCAGCAAGAACTATCTTCAAATGTAGGCTGACTCTTACATTTACGGCTGGTTCACACTATGGAAACACAGGTCAGATGCATTCCGGATGCGTTTTTGTATGCGTGTTTTTGATGCGTTTTTGACGCATTCCAGTGCGTTTTTTCATGCATTCCAGTTCATTTTTTCCCCTCTCACTTTTTCTTCAATTCAAATAGGAACATTTGCATTCCAGTGCATTTTTTATGTGTTTTACCGCATTCCAGTACAGTTCTGTGCAGAAAAAAAATGCACCCTGTTCTACTTTTTTTCTGCAACTGGAATGCACTGGAACTGCAAACACTGGTGTGAACTATGACATTGACAACCATATAACCTACTTTGTGTGTTTTGTATGCAGAAAAAAAGCAACTGAAAACGCATGTAGTGCGAACTGACTCTTAGGGGTGCATTTATAAAAAATGTGCAGAACTATTCGTCCTGTTAAACTGCATATACATTCATTCTATGAGAATGGAGTGTTGCTTTTTTTTTCTCCAGGTCAAATGTTATTCATTCAAAATAGAGTGAATCAGGAAAATACCACATTATGACCATTAGACAGCGCAGACACTCATCAGGAATACTTATTTCCTACAACTGTCAGCTCCATCTAGTGGCCACAGTGCAGCATTTTCCAAAACCACATGATCTACATAGATTAAGGGCTCATGTACACTGCAGCTGATAAACTGATATGCTGATAAACAGCATTTTTTTCAGCAGCCCCTGAACTCACCCTAATGTTTTCCTATGTGTCCATGTACACATCTTCGTTTACAGTCATTTACAAGCATTTGAGTTCACAGTCGTTTTTTTGAACGCACCAAACTTGCATTCAGCAGTCGATTTTATCAGGGTTTCAAACGCAAAACGCTTGTAAATGTGGCAAATCGCGTTTATAAGCGTTTGCAATTTTTTTTTAACTCTTCCAGTTCCCGATGCTGTCCAGAGCCTTTTTTCATCATGAAAAATGCATGCAAAGTGTTTTCAAGGTGCTCAGATGGACAAAACACTGAACACAGGATGTTCCTACCAAGCTTGTCACACATTGTAATGACCAATTCACACCTCAGGCCTCTCCCACCCTTGGAAACAAAAGATATGTTAATGATCATTCACACCTCAAATTCCTCAGGAAGACCCCCTGCCAGGTGACCTTAATGACTCCCTCCACCAGACACCTTGCCACCCTTGGAAACAAAAGAAATGTTAATGAGCAACTCATACCTAGCTAATATCAACACATACTGCTGTCTCTGCTTCTACTCTCTGCATTTCCCTGAAACAGTTAATAATTTACCACTTTTCAGTGCATTCTGGGCATTTGGGAGGATCTCCTGTGCTTATCTTTAAAAAAATGCTTCTAAACGCAAACGCGCAAAAACGCAATATGCAAACGCGGCTAAACAGACGTTATTTAACCTACGTTTTCCAGCAGTCAGTTTCCATCGTTCAGAAGTGTCCTGTGTACATGGGGCCTAAAGCAGGCTCAATTCAAGTGTGCATAAAAAACAAACAAACGACTCTAGTGCGGGGGTCTCCAAACTTTGTAAGCAAAGGTCCAGTTTACAGTCCTTCAGACTTTAGGGGGGCTGGACTGTGACCAATGGGAATAGAAAATGCCCCGACATCAGAGCCCCATCATTGGTTTTGATGAGAGGAACAGTGCCCCATTGTTGATATCCAAGAGAAGAATGGTGCCCCATTGATGGTGTCAGTAGGGGAGATGGTGCTCCTTCATTGGTGACGGCTGGTGAAATAGTGCCCCAAGGCCATATAAAGGCAAAGGGCCATATCTGGCCCCCGGGCCGCAGTTTGGAGACCACTGTTCTACTGCATCAATCTCTGTGCACAATCTTGTACCTGCAATCACAGTGCACAGCCTGCAGATTCTGGCTGTACTGGGTTCAAAACGCAAACTAAGGGCTGTTTTTTTTCTATTATAATAATTATTTATTAAATGTAATACAACGCAGTACAAAAAAAAGAAAAAATATATACTGCATTGTGGCTGCTAGATGGCGATAGGAAATAAGTATTTATTTCCTATGATCATCAGCTCCATCTATTGCTATAATATGGTATTTTCACCATTCACTCTATTCATTTGAATAACATGCGACTTGTAGAAAAAGTAGCCTAATAACATTTGATTTTGTCCCCATTTGCACATAACGAATGTACATGAAGTTTCACTAAATACACCAAATGGTTTCTAAACTCAAAAGTTAATATATCTCAGCTTACCAGAAACAAAAAAACACCAGAATGCCTAAAAACAAAGAATTTTTTGTGTAAAAGTCCTTAGTGAAAAAAAAAAAAATTAAAAAAATTTACAAAGGCACACCCAAGCACTTAAAACCCTTCCAAAAAATGTTAAGTCTGCCCCACCCCCACACACATGTCAGTGCACACATCGGGGATACCTACATATGAACACGTTGCTGGCACCACAGGTTACATATCACCGTGCACTCCGCAATGACAGCAATCATTTCAGGGCCATTGTGCATATTTAAAGCAAACCCTATACTTGTAATATGGTGTCCTGGAGCTCCCCGTCAGCTGGCTTCAGGGTAGCGATAGCCAGCCACTTTCATTGGCCGGGCTGAGATGACATCACTCCTGCGCATGCGTGGGAGTTCAGTTACCTTGGCATTGCTGAATTTGTACAATGAGCTGCCCATTGCCGGGCCGAACAGATGACTAAATCACTCCTGCGCAATATGCGTGGGAGTTCATTCACCTATGGCATTGACCCTGCATTTTGTACAATGAGCCGGCCCATGTGCAGCTCACTGCTCCCAGGGGGCGAACATCTGGTCTCAGAAGTGTTACTAAACCCCGGACCCTGCATTCACTATATCTGGTCTCCCCGAACCCTGCATTCTGGTCTACCCTATTCACTATAGTCTCCCAGGACCCTGCATTTACTATATCTGGTCTCCCCGGACCCTGCATTCACTATATCTGGTCTCCCGGACCCTGCATTCACTATATCTGGTCTCCCCGGACCCTGCATTCACTATATCTGATCTCCCCGGACCCTGCATCCACTATATCTGGTCTCCAGGACCCTGCATTCACTATATCTGGTCTCCCCGGACCCTGCATCAATCTGGTCTCCCATATCACTATATCTGATCTCCCACAGTACACAGAACATGGAAATGCAATTATTTTAGTAAATATAAACTGCTAAATACCTTTTCTCATCAGCAGTTAGAGCAGTCTTGTGCTTTCTGTCAGTGTCCATCAGAGCACTGGCTAAAGCTTGTAGGAGGAGTTTTCATTCTCCCCTGATTGTCCTATGAGGCTGCATAACCCCTGATCCTCTGTCTGGACAGCGCTGTTTAGCCCTATGCTAATCACATGCACTGTCTCAAAGAAAAAAAAAAAAAACTCTCTACCAATACACACCAAACTCAGCATGTGCAGCTTGCCCCCAAGGCTCTGTTCTATCAGTAGATGGACTGGGGACAATAGAAGAAGGGGAGGATCAGAGAAGACAGGATCAAACAGCCTTTTTAAACAATGTGGATGATTAACCCCTTAGGTTCCACAGTGATTATAACAAGCATGCTTTACTGCATATACAGACTGATTTTACTGTTGTGGGTTTAGGAACACTTTAATTTACGTCTCTTCTGCCCATTTGCACATTTTTACTTAAAAAGTTCCACTTTAATAGCTCCTATAGGTCTACAGTAGAGTTAAAGTGTTGCCTAGTGAACATCTAGGGTACCAAAGGTAGTTTCCGTTTCACGGGTGCACGCAAATTTAAGGACTGACATGGGTAGGTGTGCAAAAAAAAAAAAAAAAAAAAAAAAAGGGGGGGGGCAAAAATGGCCCTGACATTGAAAGAGTTAAATTACTCTTCAAACTAAAATTGCAAATTTCACATATAAAAAGTAAAAAAAAAATTGCCCCAGTAGAAAAGGGGTTAAAGTGTTACTAAACCCACAACAGTAAAATCAGTCTGTAGATGCAGTAAAGCATGCTTGTTATACTCACTGTATAACCTAGGTGATAATCCTCTGCACTGTGTAAAAAAGGCTGTTTGATCCTGTCTTCTCTGATCCTCCCCTTCCAGTGCCCCCCTCTTATCTCCTGATAAAACATATCTGTGGAGTCACTCTGCTCATGCTCAGTTTGGTGTGTATTGCTAGAGATATTTTTTTTTTTCTTGGGAGAGTGCCTGTTAATGAGCACAGGGCCAATCCAGACAGAGGTCAGGGGTTCTGCATCCCCCTAGAGCAGAAAGAAAACTTCTCTTACAAGCTTTAACATGTGCTCTGCTGAACACTGATAGAAGTCACAAGACTGTTCTAACTGCTGATGAGAAAAGGTATTTAGCAGTTTATATTTACTAAAATAATTGCATTTCCATGTTGTGTGTACTGTTGGAGACCGGCTATAGTGAACGCAGGATCCGGGGAGACCGGATATAGTGAACGCAGGGTCCGGGGAGACCGGATATAGTGAACGCAGGGTCCGGGGAGACCGGCTATAGTGAACGCAGGGTCCGTGGAGACCGGCTATAGTGAACGCAGGGTCCGGGGAGACCGGCTATAGTGAACGCAGGGTCCGGGGAGACCGGCTATAGTGAACGCAGGGTCCGGGGAGACCGGCTATAGTGAACGCAGGGTCCGGGGAGACCGGCTATAGTGAACGCAGGGTCCGGGGAGACCGGCTATAGTGAACGCAGGGTCCGGGGAGACCGGCTATATACAGGGTCCGGGGAGACGGCTATAGTGAACGCAGGGTCCGGGGAGACCGGCTATAGTGAACGCAGGGTCCGGGGAGACCGGCTATAGTGAACGCAGGGTCCGGGAGACCGGATATAGTGAACGCAGGGTCCGGGGAGACCGGCTATAGTGAACGCAGGGTCCGGGGAGACCGGCTATAGTGAACGCAGGGTCCGGGGAGACCGGCTATAGTGAACGCAGGGTCCGGGGAGACCGGATATAGTGAACGCAGGGTCCGGGGAGACCGGCTATAGTGAACGCAGGGTCCGGGGAGACCGGCTATAGTGAACGCAGGGTCCGGGGAGACCGGCTATAGTGAACGCAGGGTCCGGGGAGACGGCTATAGTGAACGCAGGGTCCGGGGAGACCGGCTATAGTGAACGCAGGGTCCGGGGAGACCGGCTATAGTGAACGCAGGGTCCGGGGAGACCGGCTATAGTGAACGCAGGGTCCGGGGAGACCGGCTATAGTGAACGCAGGGTCCGGGGAGACCGGCTATAGTGAACGCAGGGTCCGGGGAGACCGGCTATAGTGAACGCAGGGTCCGGGGAGACCGGCTATAGTGAACGCAGGGTCCGGGGAGACCGGCTATAGTGAACGCAGGGTCCAGGGGGGAGACCGGATATAGTGAACGCAGGGTCCGGGGAGACCGGGATATAGTGAACGCAGGGTCCGGGGAGACCGGATATAGTGAACGCAGGGTCCGGGGAGACCGGATATAGTGAACGCAGGGTCCGGGGAGACCGGATATAGTGAACGCAGGGTCCGGGGAGACCGGATATAGTGAACGCAGGGTCCGGGGAGACCGGACATAGTGAACGCAGGGTCCGGAGAGACCAGGCATAGTGAACGCAGGGTCCGGAGAGACCGGATATAGTGAATGCAGGGTCCTGGGAGACCAGATATAGTGAATGCAGGGTCCAAGGAGACTGAATATAGTGAATTCAGGGTCTGGGGAGACGGATATAGTGAATGTATGGTCCAGGGTTTAGTAACACTTTGAGGTACTTCTAATAACTTCCTGCGGCACCACAGGCCTCTGCAATCCCCTATTAGAGCAGGACAAAGCCATACCTTGTGGTCTGTGTCCCCGCTGGCAATTTCCCCTCACTTCCTGTCTTGGCAACTGTCACAGGGACAGGATGTGAGGAGGAATCTTCACAACAATGCCTTAGACAGCAATGAAAGCAAGGCCGAGGATCTAACTCTTCTACGATCTATAGAAAACTGAAGTGTTCTGGCTATAGATAGACTTTAATAGATGGAACGGCTCGTGTTGAACAAACAAGTGAGGAGAGCCAGAGATGAAAATAGCCTGTGAGGGGAGGAAGGGAGGAGGAGGGGGGTGTCATGTTTTTCTGGAGGAAGGACAGGCCCTGGAGGGCAGCCATGTTCTCTGTGTATAATTCAGGTGTAAACACTGCGAGGTTCTAAGAAAAACACTGAACGCCGTGTCACTGCCACACCGACTTTGGGGTCACAAATAGAACTGTCAATGTGCCGACTTCAGAATTAGGGACAGACGGCTAACCTACCTCACACAACCAATACAGACTCCTCTGACCTAAATGGGGGGCATTTGGGGTCACCACCTGCCTGGAAAAACACTGCTTTCAGGGTTCATTTACACCAGACGCAGTCAAACGCATTTTTAAATGCAGCATGAACGCATATGCAAAAAAAAATAAAAATGAATGTATTTAAATTAGCACTTTAATGTGCGTTTAAAAAAGTACAGCATTTCTTCACATGTAAACATATCTTACCCTAGGTTCACACCTATGCAGGTTGTGTTTTGTGCGTTTCTGCATTACGTTTTTTGCCTCATTTGTGATGCTTTTTTTTCCCATGTTTTTCAATTTTTCTTGTTGCTAGCAGCAGATTTTAAACGCAAAACGCATCAAAAGCGTGGCAAACACTCAGCAAATATGAAATACATGCTTTTCTGCAGCATTCCCACTGCAGTCTATAGAACCAAAATTGAAACGTTTTGCGTTCAAAAAAGTCCCTGACCCTTTCCAAAAAACGCACCGGGTGAAAACGCAGAGATGTGAACCTGTCCCATAAGAAATCATGTTAAATGGACAGTACCGCGTTTCCGCAAAATGCTGTAGAAAGAGCATAGGTGTGAACCGAGGGTTAACGTACATCAATGCACCACAAATGCATTTCAATGCAACTCAGTAAGATCGTGTCTAAACTATGCACTGCAAACATGGCAAAAACACACCACAAACATTATAAATGCATGTAAATGCCCATGTGGAACTGCACACTGAAGGTGGGGATTGAGGTGCAAATGAGCCCTTACACCATATGCAGTCAAGCGTGTTTTTAAGCCCAGGTTCACACCTGTGTGTTTTTTTTTTTATGCATTTTGCAGGAAAGCAGTGCATGCCATTTATCATAGTTTCCTATGGATCACGTTCACATCTATGCGTTTTTTGCGGTCGTAATTTTTTGGAAAGGTTCAGGGACTTCTTTCCAATAGACATCAATAGCACTACATATAAACCGCAAGTGCTGCACTTTGCGTGCATTTCTGATGCGTTTTGATCTGCCCAGAAACCAGTTGGCCAAACCCCCCCCCCCCCCCCCCCCCCAAAACGCAAAGCACATTGAAAACGCACTGCAGAAACGGATCAAAACGCAAACTACATAGGTGTGAACCTAGCCTGAAAAGCAGTTTGAACGCATGCAAGAGAAATTAAATTTATTTAACCAATTGAGCTCCGGAAGATTTTACCTCCTAAAAGACCAAGCCATTTTTTTGCCTTTCGGCACTGTGCTACTTTGACTGGTAATTGTGTGGTCATGCAACACTGTATGCAAACAAAATTTATATCATTTTTTTCACACAAATAGAGCTTTCGTTTTGGTGGTATTTGTTCACATTTTGTTTTATTAAAATGAAAAAAAAAAAAAAAAGTCAGACAATTTTGAACACCCCCCCAATATTTTCTACTTTCTGCTGTAAAAAAACTTATACAATTAAAAAAAATGTATTCTGCTACATGTCTTTGATAAAATAAATCCCAACAAGAGTATATTGGTTGGTTTGCTTGAAAGTTGTAGAGTCTACAAACTATGGTATATACATTGGAATTTTTTTTTGTTATACTACTAACGGCGGTGATCAGTGCCTTATAGTGGGACTGTGATAGTGTGGTGGGCAATCTGACACTAACTGATGCTGGGGGGAACTGGCTAACTGTCACTAAAATCATCAGTGACATTAATACAGTGATCAGTGATAATACTCTACACTGTAACTGTACTAATGACACTGGCTGTGAAGGGGTTAACATCTAGGGTGTTCAAGTTGTTACGTGTGTGCCTAACTATATGTATTATGTGTAAAGTGTGCTGTGTTTTACTAATGATCCCTTAGTTTCTCATCCCTGCAAAGCAAAAGGAGAGATGACTCCCTCTGTACAAAGCCCTGTGTTGACTGTCAACACAGAGCTCTGGGCTATACACAGCAGATCAACAGGTCCTGGCCATGAATGTCCTGGGACTTGCGGACAGGCTCCCGCTATATACAGTCACAATGGGAGTAGGTGGGCGTGTGTGTGCCCAAAACCTGGGAACAGGCAGTGTTGTACCCATACCTCGTTGCCTGTTCCCAGGTTTTGGGTGCGTGCACGTCCACATACTCCCTCTGTGATTGTACACAGTGGCAGCAGGTGGGCATGTGCACCTGAAACCTGGGAACATGCAGTGAAGTATGGGTATGTCGTTTTGCCTGTGCAGGCCACTCATTCACAAATGGTTAAAAAAAAAAAAAATACATACATGAGAACACTGCAAATGCAAATATAAAAAAAAAAATAAACAAAATCACAAAAAAAATGTCCTAAACACAACCAAAAACACTGCAAAACGTCCCAAACGCACATGCAGTACTGAACGCAGAAACTGCTGTGTAAGCAAGCCTTGAGGGCTCATACACAACAGGCCCGTTGGACTGCGCTATGTGGTATTGCCCAACACAGTCCTAACACCAACAAGGCAATCAGCCTCATGTCCTATAGTCTCAGGTCAATGCTGTAGAGTAGGGCAGGTTGATTTCTTTGCAGCTCATTACGGAGAGATGCAATGCACTGCAGCAGAGTAGAATGAAATATAATTTAGTGATAGGTCAACAAAGGTAAAACAGAAAACAGCATCACACATTGTAACAACACATCACACCAACCGTACACTACACACACCAGCAGACGTGTTTTACAGAGCATAATGTGCGTCCACTGGTGTGAATGGGCCCTTAATGTTGCCAATGCCAACACCTGTCACATATCCCAGTCTTTGAAAGAGTAGAAGGTGGCAGGCCCAGTGGCACATGATCGGGAGGCCCATCGGCTGACTCCGATGGCTGACTGGCAGGCTTCCTGATGATGTCACACACAAACATGGGATGTGGGACTCGAGAAGAGGATCTTGGCAGGACAACGATGGATCTACTGGGTGGGTGAGTATCTGAATTGTGTAGAACCCAACACAGGTAAACAGGGGTTAAAAAAAAAAAAAAAAAGAGGGTTAGGAAGGTGAAGATCCCCTTTAAGGGACACAAATGTTAATCTGTAAATGCATATAACCAACTTTTCTCAATGGAGTAACCCTTCAAATACCTTTCAGGGAACCCCCTCCTGATAATTCCTAAAGCCACACCTCAATGTACTGTACAATATTGGATGGAAAGGATGCTTCTTACATTTGTGGTCATTGGGAAGAATGTCCTCCCCCACACAGCTTAAAGATCATTGGTGTCAATGGTTACTTATCTCAGGAGGTTGCTCAAGGACCTCACAGCAACCTCTGGAGGAATCCAAGGCTTCCATGGAAACCCTGGTTGAGAAAGGCCTTTTTAACCCATTCTCAATCTATTCAAACCTGAAACAAAAGCTTTGGTTGGAGGCCATCTTTGCACTATGGTCAAAGCCATTACACAAATGCCATCCAATCACTGAAATGTCAGCCTGGAAAAAATAATCTCCGGATATCATTATGTTATGGGAATGTTAAATATTCTGGAACCCATTTGAAGTCCAGACCCTCCAGCAACACACCTCTGAAGTGACGAAAATTCCTGATTCATATATAGAACCTCATAACAGACTCCTCAGTGCTGATAAAACACACACACGCAAGTGAATCAAGCAATGTACTTCTACAGTCTGTAAATCAGTAACCCATGACCAGATCTCAGTGTCCTGGTTTTACCAAGAAAATCATTCTGATGTGCTAATTTTTCTGCAAGTTTCCCTGTTCTCATTTCCACGAACGAAGACGTACCAAGGGGATTGTCTCTACAGCCAGTGCTACTACACCAGAACCTCAACCTAGAGGGCCCACCAGGGTTACCACAGGAGTCAAGCTGAGAAGTTTTTACGTTCCAGGCATAAAAAAAGAAAAAAAAAAAAAAAAAAGACAACCCCCACCTCCAATAAACCACAATGCCCTGCAAGCCAGCTGCTACCATTGTGCACAAATATCCTACCACAATGAATTTTTGACATTATTGGGATTCAGAAGATAATGTGTCCCGAAGGTCACCAACAATGGATATTGTCTTAACTTTTGGTGTCAGAGGTGCCAGAGAACTTACCACCAACCGAGCAAGGCTTACGTGGGTACACACTATGAGAAAATCAGAAGAAAAATTCCGTACGAGGACCGAACATTCAATTTTCGTAATTGTTTACACAACTTTCAACATCCAATTTAGACTTTCCCAATTAAATTTCCAAAGGGATCAAAATATTTCTCAAATGTGAACACAATGTCCAATTTCCACTCAATATGTATGGTTTTCTTTTGAGAAAAATCAGAGACA